TACACTGTATTTGGGAAATCAAGCGCACACAAGTCGGTGGCTGGACCGTAGTCCGCTCCACACTGAGTGCATGGAACCACTCTTCGAGCCTAGCACGGCCACAAGGACCGTGCACCCCGTCCCAGCCAGCAACGACCAACTGTCTCCTGGAGCCAGTATGGACGAGGTAGTGGGTAATCGACAGGTAGACACCTTGTCAACGTGTACAGCAAGCGCAGCCACACCGGGGATATCAAGCAACAGCCAATCACCTGGAACGACAAGATGAAGTAAAACAAATCCAATAATCCATACAGATACGGTGGGATAACTCTAAGCTAAATTACCATATGAAGTAAGTTGGTTAGCAAGGAATCCGCGATAAGGAAAAAATGTCCACAAGTTAGTTAAAAATGCTACAAAGGCAAAAAAGTTACGGAAGTTAAGCGCAATTAATGTAAGCAACGTGGCCAGTTAATAGAAGTTTATTCAGGTGGGCAGATCAAACCAAATAAAGTGGAATGAAATTTATCCAGCTGAAAAAGACCTAGTTTAAGTGTAAGTTGGTTTAGCCCAACTGCGATGAAGAAGCATCAAGGATGCAACATTAGCCTCAGCATGGTGCACATCTCATACAATTATGGTTGGCGGCATCCGGTTTCGGATTTGCCTGTCACTCTGGCAAGCCACAGGACGCCTGCGCCTACAGAGGGACCACGGGTGGCTTGCGCTACACCACCCACAGCTCCAACCACACACCCCATACCCAGTGTAAACCCGAAGGAATAAGACCGGCGGGCATGTGGATGGGAGCCATGTTTCATCAATGGAGCCGGCCCACACTCCTTCACAGGCAAACACAAGCACACTGTATTTGGGAAATCAAGCGCACACAAGTCGGTGGCTGGACCGTAGTCCGCTCCACACTGAGTGCATGGAACCACTCTTCGAGCCTAGCACGGCCACAAGGACCGTGCACCCCGTCCCAGCCAGCAACGACCAACTGTCTCCTGGAGCCAGTATGAACGTGGTAGTGGGTAATAGACAGGTAGACACCTTGTCAACATGCACATCAAGCGCAGCCACATCGGGGATATCAAGCAACAGCCAATCACCTGGAACGATAAGCTGAAATAAAATAAATCCAATAACCCATACAGATACGGTGGGATAACTCTAAGCTAAATTAGCATATGAAGTAAGTTGGTTAGCATGGAATCCGCGATAAGGAAAAAATGTCCACAAGTTACTCAAAAATGCTACAAATGCAACATAATTATCGAAGATAAGCGCAATTGGCGTAAACAACGTGGCCAGCAAATGGAAGATTACCCAGATAAGCAAAACAAACCAAATAATCTGGAATGAAATTTTTGCAGCTTAAAGAGACCTAGTTCAAGTATATATATATATATATATATATATATATATATATATATATAAATGCAACCGTTTACGAATAGACATAAAGCCATCAGGAACCGTGGGATTCAAATAAGGTACATAAATAGTAAAAGAAAACACCGCAAAACACAACAATGTCCATGGTTTCGTCAGACAGCCAGCTACGACCCGATTGCCCAAGCCGAAGTAGCGTGTTGACTTAGGGAACTTCACCCCGAATATTTGGCTGAATAGCCTGCTCGCAAGGCAGTGGAGCGAATTCAGGGGATCGCGTTCATAGGGAACCGGTGACCGATTGCTCAGTTCATGCGCCATTCGTTTGTTTCTTTGCCAAACAGAGGACCAATGCTCCCCACTATAACAGCATAAGCTTGCTGGAATACAATGCTTCGCCAGGATGAAGCAAGAAGCAGTTGCTTTATTTAGTGTTGAGTCACGTCCGCCACGTCACAGTGTTGTTACACGGATATATGTGGCTTTTTATAGGGAGAACGCTTGCCTGGCGAAATCCCACCACGTCCTGGAACACTGTCATCGAACCATTTGCTGGACCGGGAAAATCCCGAACCACCCAGCTGGCACCATGAGGAGGTTGTTCGGCAAGCTCTGCTTCGGAGCATTCGGTGTACGAAATTTAATCGAACAGTAAAGCCACGTGATTGTTTTGGCACACAGGACTGCACACATTTAGCCTATGAGACAAGAGCTCGTCGCCAATGAATACTAGATCTAACGTTGTGGGCTTATTCGATCTTCTGAACCTGGTGGGAGAAGTAAAGTGCTCTAACAGTGGTTTGCTAAAGGTTTGCTCTTACAGAACCGTTTCGTGTTGTTCGTTATCCGTTATTGAGGTTTCCCGACCATGGGTGTTGGAAACTCCTGTAATAAGGAGATGGCTGTATTTCTGATCTATCACAACACAAAAGACCGATATAAACCTGGGATGCATTTCCGGAAAGGATTTGAGCTGTCGGAAAACTATGGGCACCAGGCATCTGTCATCCTCCTTCAACCGCAGTTTGCACCAACGGAGAAAAGTGATGCGCTTTGGGATCACCTAAAAATTCAAGGCGTAGGTTCGTGTTGTACTAATGTATCGTTCCCTTCCCCTACTCGTTCTGTATTGCTGCAGAAATGACGAACTGGTTAAAACGATCTCAGCGTCGGTCATCTCACAGTTCATCCACGTTTCAGTGATCATTGTGATAACACGAAGTTGTGAACTTGGTCGATGGGGGACTTCGACTAATCTACTAATAAGACGTTGTGTATTAGTATACTAACAGAATAAGTTTCGGTAACCAAAAATGCGTTGACTGTTGTTGAACTAAAATTTTAGAGTTTGTCTATTGTTGGGGAGTCTTTGACTCTTAAAATTCGGTTGGGTTATATGACTGCTCTCGGGTGTCTGGGTCTTGATGGTCTTCTGCATTTAGTCCTATTCTGTCCGATGCTGGGGTTGTCATGAGGTCAATTCTTTCACAGGGCTGTATGAGAGGAAGATTCACCAGTTTAGCCATGCATATTGAGTCGTCAGCCACGGACGGCCGTATACGCGCCGCGTCTAACCGCATTTCTGTAGGCAGCCTCTAGATCAATTTCCAAGGTAAGCGATATTCTTAGCTCGGATTGAAGCATCATTTTCATCAATCTGGAACCATTCCCTTGTAGTCAGGCGAAACTGGAACGTTTGTCAAACGCTTAGCAATAATATTGTCGAAAGTGAATTCCTGGTGGATGTCATTTCATTGCTCCCGGTCGTGTGCGTTCATCTCTTCAGAAGACGATTGAAGCACATGAATTCTGTAAACAATAAATATCCGTTTTTTGTCAGATTTATGAACTTCTTTGTGGTTGAAATTCTCTTTCGGACGTTCGTTTCAAAGGACGTTCGGAAGTATACAGGTGAGTAAAAACTAACTTATTAAAACCTAAATCCTAACACCTTGGATATTTTCATAAGAGCCTCAGCTTGATCTACACGCTCGGGCACTATTGGACTGCTTTAGTTGAAACAAAGGCAGTTGGCTGATTTTGTACGAATCAGCTCTTCAGGAGGGCCGTCATACCCATGTCGGTTGGAATAAAGGTAGTGCTTACTAATCTGGATGTTGCTTATCCATCTCGCCTTCTGTGTTGGATCCTGGTTGCTCATCTGATGTTAGACTGGTGACAGAGGAAACAACAGGTAATGAGAATCGGTAGCATATATCCTATCCACCTCCAACGAGCTACCAGCCTGAACTGTACATATTGCCTAATTTATAATGGGATGTAGTCATAGGAAGACTGTCTTTCCGATACAACTTCACCTTCGTGAACTGGCCAACTACTTGTGTTCTTACGACGTTGTTCTAATATAAGCTCCTTGCTTTTGTGTGTTTGGTTGAAGGGCATTGGCTCCCCCTCCTTCTCAACACTTCTTATCTCTAGACCTAGTTAGACAGCAGGCACACAACCGGAAAGGCACTGTACGGCCGTTTCAGCCTTTCGGCAATCGTCAGTAACGCGTATTCCATTTGACACTTGTGAGGTTCAAACCTGCAAATCGACCTTTGTCAGTCTGTTGTTAAGGCCACTAAGCTGCGGGGACAGTAACCACCGTCGTGACTAAGTTACTGGATGTGCGATAACTGGGGTCAATTACCACTGACTTACAGGTTACTGCAATAGTGGTTTTATAATCCTATAGCTTAGAAATCTTCTTGTAAATTGCTGATATCATGCAGCCCTTATCACCGACTATGACCAATTTCAAGTGAGCAAAAACGCAGTTCGATCAGCCAGTTTGTCTACTCAATGAACTATACTAAGTGCAGCTTTAAAGCTTGGTGGCTTTGCATTGTAGGACTTCTCAACTGCTAGAGCTACCGTGTGCTAATGTTGAGATCTAAAGATGTTCTTCAGTTTAATATCAAAGCAGGTTATCATCGCAGTCACTGCTTAGTAGGGAATATACTCAAAGACACATTGGTGTGTTCCGGGTAAAAAGGTAATGCTTTACAAGTCCCGTAGGATGGAAAACGTGAAGAAAATACAAATTCATAATGGACGAAGAGGCGTTTTAGTGGACTCACCATAAACATGTGTAGAAGATCTGCGATGTTCGTGTGATAATAGTATAAACCCATAGATCCATTGATCTGGATTTTGAAAACACACTGTTCGTTTGTTACTTTTGTAGCCCCTTGGCTAACATAACTCTCGCGCCACCGACCTGCGGACTGCGTGCTTTGATATCAACACCAGCTTCATTGATTTTTTCGCTTGCTTCTACTTCTACCATGTGGCAGCCTCACCCGAGTAGTTTCATTAAGTCAACTAGTATCGTTCATGAGCATGTACGCGGAACTACTCGATATGTTTATTGCAATTTATTCTCTCTCTGCCCGCGCTCGTCTGCTTTTTTGGTCTATCGCGGATGGTTGGCATAACAAGGAACGAGGAGTGCTGTGGGTTTCGAAGCTTCTTGGAGGTTTCTGTTACACAATCTCTCCCTTATTTTTGCTTCTTACATCTGCCACCGTCAGTTTTTGTTCCGTTGATTGGTCGTTCTACGTTTTTATATTGATCACCATGAAAAACCTAACTGAATCAACGGTTGCTATCTATTCCAGACTGCGAAATCGTCGGTTGTTGGGGTGCCTGCGTGTCCCACTGTGTGGACCGGATTCTAACAGTCGGTCCGATGTCACTGGGACAGCGATTAGTAACACAATGCCAACACAAGTGGACATTACAGGTGATCACCCGTTCGTTCCAGCTCAACGTGTGAATCCTTTTACCATGGGATCTGGTGCAACTGGCAAACACGCTGTGGTTGCTGGACCCCTGCAAAGTGCTAACTTCCTTCCGTTCAAATGTCCCAACACATTGCCAACTTTGGTCGAACTGGAGAAGCTGACAACAGGTGGAGCCCAACTGCTAACAGTACTAGGAGGACGGCAACTGCAAGACTCGAAACTGGGCAAAGAATTCAGCTGCAGTGCTGCAGGAGGTGACAGTGCGATTTCACAGTTATCTAATTCCACGGAGCATGATAGCCAGGAGACGCTGAATTCAGCGATACCTTCAACACCGGAATTATTGCCTTCTCTGCATCCAGACTAATTAATTCTCTTGCGCAACGCATAGAACAGAGACGTGCTTCGTGGTGTTTTTGTTCACCCATGTTAAAAGCAAGCGTCGAATGGTGCTTCTAACTGGTGCACAAAAAACTTGTCGAATTGCCTTCACCTATCATTAGAAAATCTCCCGAAAATCGTCCGTTGAACTTGTTAGTTCATTTGGGTTACTCAGTTCCCTTGCCTCAGGTATCCTTATTTAAGTGTTCAATGCATTGTGGAAAATGATATGGTGATAGTAGTTGGTAACAGCGGGAGTGGTTAGAAACCGTGGAATAAAGTTCGCGGTGTTCGGTTAGTAATTAAATGTTCACCACAGCCTGCAAGCTTTACAGCTTCATTCGTTTATTTAATCAGTCATTCAAAGTTGGTCCTGATTAGTGTAAAACTAACAATAACGGTAAAGTAACCATTAAGCCACTGATCAGTTGGGCATCTAAGTAAAAGTAAGTTGGACATTGCGTTAATTAGTTTCGACATGTGACGTCCCCTAGTTGGCAAGGATCGATAACAAAACTATTAATACACACTTCCTTTACGTAAGCTGTCAGTTTCCGAGGTCGCTGTTAGGAGTTCTAAACGGTTATGACTCTGACATTTGGGTAGTACCCGAGTGGGGGAGAAATGGTTTGGTTTACTGAAAACAATATGACCCATTTTGACTGTTAACATAGGCGTGCATCCTGAATACGTCATCGAGGAAATTTTGCCACATATGTTGCAATCAACTGGGGAAATGTGACGACTACCAAGCTAGGTAGCATCGAAGTTCATAGGAGAGTATTGGGGTATAAGGTTTAGATGAACAGGAGAAGCTAACAATCTTAAGACCTTATGTATCGCCGATACTGTGAAGGCGCATGCAGTCGATGAGCTTTACCAGTGGATTCATAAAAGAATTGATGGTGCAACACATTGCCTACAAATTTCCAACCGAATTCAGGTATTTCTGCTACTAATATTTTGTCATTAATGTCGATAAGGTAAACATGGCAAGGTGACCAAGAATATTTGACTTGATGGCCACAGTTCATAAATTAAGATAAATGTGGAAGAGTCTCGTGTTTGCCTTATCCCTTTGGAGCGTATGATATGCTTGGCTGTCGGTAGGTGGCCTTCGCAGACCACAGTGAATTGATGACGTGGCAGAAACTTGAAAGAGGTATGAGGTCGTGACGACAAGCCCATTGGTCATATTTAATTGCTACACTTCTCATATGTTATCTAAACCAAACTCTCTGCTTAACTGCTGGTCACCCAGCAAGGTGTCATCAGCATGCTGCAGTTTGCAGGTAGAATTCTACAGGCACTGCTTGCAGTCGGCAGGTGATGCCATATACGGAAGGCTAACCCAAATGCTGTACATAACCCGATCCCAGCTATCTCCCGATCCAATCAGATTGTGTCCTTGTCCAGTCAACTATCAGTGAGTTTGTTATAACGCTGCCCTTTGGCTCTGTCTCTCTGCGCTACCAACCGGCCGGGGAAAACAAAACGTAGAGCCTGCTAGACCGAAGTATATTAGGTACAGAACATGGCTATTTGTATAGGTCACATGCGCTTACCTCGCTGCTATCACTGAGGTGACTCACATCTCTTGTCTGAACAGATTCGACTCTGACAGCCGCCATCACTGTCTGACTGTAGGTAGGACCACGTCCGTGACATAGCAACCCGTGCGGCGATGACGGTCTGATTTCGTCAGCTTCCGGTTTGACCATGACAGCCAGTCTGTCAGCCGCTCACGTGATCTGGCCGAGCTCGCCCCGCTAGTGTGCACCATCGTAATCAGCTGTTTCGCCTCGGTGACTGAGTTAACGATTAATAAACCGTATAACAGCCGTTACCGGGACACATCTTGACTCTTGACTCTTGATCTCGTTGTATCAAGGCTACCTAGTCAAATCCACGACCTAGTCTTCTATTCACCTACTTGAAGTAGTTCAGGTCACATCAGGTGGCCTAAAGGGTTTTGCTCCTGCATTGCAATCGAGAGGTCAACGGTTCGAATCTGCGTAGTGGCGGGCACTCTCTTGTTCTACTCAGGGCACACAAGGCTGGTGGTGGTGGTGGAGAAGCAGCGAAGCATCGGTACCTTATGTCGTCGCACTGCGGAATTTTTAGGGAATTTTTGACTCGTGAGTTTCCACACCCATCTTCGACAATGTGGCGATCGATTTTTCTTGCACACGCAGCTTGTACATACTACTCTCACACATATTGGTATTGAATTATTTTCATGATAGCCGGGATAAGGTGAATATAATAAGAAAAAACCATTATTCTAGCAATAATTCGATTAAGTTCGATTGTACATTGATTGCAAAGATCCAGGAAACTTTCATTTCTTCATATGTCCGTCAACATACGGAGTATTGGCAAGGAGGCCGCTAATTTTACCAGTTGACCTTCTTTCTCTAGAAGCCGAAGGTCATTGAACTACCTATAAGTTCGACGAAGGTTTGGAGCAGTTGTACAGCCCTTTGGCGGAGTTTTGACGTCGTTTTTGTTGATTCACACTTCTGGGTATGAGTCGTTGGACTACTGAATTTTCCTCGACTGGGCTGGAGGTCTTGCTGAGAATTCTGGGTGTTTTAGTTCGGAATAGCCGGAAAACTTAAACACCTAACGTTCGCGAGGTAAACGAACTTTGCTAATGAGCATTTTCAAAAGTTGCTTCTGCAGCAACAATCCTAGACGGATGCACAGATGAAACTGATTGAAAGTTTGACGCAGTGGTTGTGTGTACAGTCACACGGAGCAGCTATGCAGAACACGCTGGCCAATTCACTTGACCTTACGAATTCCGTCACGGAATTTCATTATGATCCTGATTCCTGCTGCACTTTCGAGACGTGATTCAAACGTTAGGAAGACATGCTCCGGACGGCTTTCAGCTGTCAGGATGATCCATGGAAAGTACGACTTTTGCTCCGCAATCTCGGTGCCAATGAACATTCAAGATTCGTCTACCGCATCCTGCCCAAAGAGCCAAAGGACGTCACTTTCAACGAGGCAGTGACACTACTCAAAGAAATTTTTGGTGAGTCAACATCTTTGTTGAGATTTCGCTTCCCATCTAGAAATTGTTATTCGGGATACGGACGAGTATGGGACACTAGCAGAAATACTTAACCTGGAACCTGAACGGTTCAAGTTACACTACTTGACCGTTGACCAGTTTGAGTGTCTCATATTTCTTAATGCTTTGTACTCTTGAAGCGATGCGGAAATCTGCACACGGCTCCTTGTTAAGTTGGATCAAGATCCCGATTTGACATTGAAGTCTCTCGTAGGCGAATGCGAACAGTTGAGCACTATAAAACACGACACCATCATGATGGGGCAGATTCACCCCACTATTGCCGATACTTCCCACGCAGTACAAAAGACAAGAAGTCTAGCTCGAACAAGCCGTTCAACAGAGCCCTTAACAAGTCGCCTACATCCTGTTGGTCATATGGAGATCGGCATTTTGCACCTTACTGCCCATCCAAGCGTCACGTTTGTATTACATGTCATAAACGCGGCCACAAGGAAGACTTCTGCAATTAGTCCCGGCCAAGAAACGTGAAGCAGCTTGACCGAAAGGAGAGCTTCCGGGAGCCTGACGCAGAATCACTATCGGTGATTGCTACTTTTCATGGTGATCCTAGATCACGCCGCCGATTCATTACTGTGTTTATAATCGGGGTCCCAACCAAGTTGCAGTTTGATTCGGCATCAAACATAACGATCACTTCCAAGAACACCTGAAATCACATAAACTGACCGAATAGGTTTGAATCCAACAAAGTCGCCCACAATGCATATGGTGGAGTGCTGAAGCTGGTTGGAGAAATAACCTGCAAAATTGCGTTCAGCGGAGTGGAACAGACCGGAAACTGTTACTTGTCGGACGGACCAAACTTGAATCTCCTTAGACTTGACTGATGGAATAGTTACAACTGTTTGATGCTCCAATTAGTCAGATTTGTAAGAGTCCAAATCTATCAAGTCCATGCTTCATTGTCCATAGAAGACATGGCGAGAAAGCTGAAGCTTGCCTCCTTGTTTGAAGTTGGTCTCGGTCACTGCATTTAGTTCAAAGCGATGTTGTGCTTTCGGGAAGCAACCAAACAAGTATTCAGGACATAAACAACGGCACCGTATGAAGGCATGGCATCAGTTGATCAGGAGCTTGACCAACTGGCGCGCCCAGGTGTGACCACACCAGTGCACTACCCTTCATTGGCTGCACCGACTGTAGCTGTGAGAAAGGCAAATGGAAATTACTTGTCTGCGCCAATTTTTAAACTGGCTTGAAAGCCGCACTGGACGACTATCGGTACCCCGTCCGATACTAGAGGATAGCTCGGCCAAGCTGAATGGTGGGAAGTGTTTCGCCAAGCTCTTGTCAGATGCTTACCTCCAAATCGATGTTGATGAAGGCTCGAGAGAACTGCTGACCATCGACACTCATCGCTGCTCGTACCAATACAACCGCCTCCGTTTGGAGTAGAAACAGCACCAGCCATCTTCCACCAGCTGATGGACACTATGCTCGCGGGAGTTGTTAGAGTCGTTGCGTACGTAGACGATATCATTTTAATGGTTCGGACGGCAGAAGAGCTATTTGAGCGGCTCGCTGAAATGCTTGGAAGCATCCAGTCGTATGGTTTCCGAATCCGAGAAGATAAATGCACCTTTTTAATACTAACCATTAAGTTTCTCAGCTTCACTTTCGCAAAGGGCGGTCGTTGCTCTGATCCAGAAAATATCCGAGCTATTCCAAAGATGACCCACTTGCGGACTTGCAATTACTGCATTCATTCTGTGACCTAATCAGTCATTAGAACGCTTTTCTGTCCGAACTACATCACCTGCTTGTCCCGCTGAAGAGGTGGCTGAACAATGGCCAAACCTAGAACTGGACGTCAAAATGCCAGACTGCATACAAACGGGTCAATTCATTGCTGGCTCCAGACATGCTTCTGACCCACTTTG